TAATATGTAAAATTAGGATGATCTTGCTGCTCTGTGTATTTTACAAGGCTGTTTTATTAACCAATAATAGCAAAACAATAAACTTTTAGAGGTTCATGGCAACATCATTGTCGTTGTGGTTTTTTTTGCTGCAGAAACTGCTGTAATGCCAGACACATAATGTGGTCAAATGAGAAAAGCAGATGAGATGGCATTTGAGAACATACTTTGCAAAATGCAATTGCCTATAAAGAATGCAAATGTGATTATTTTGATTGGTGATTATTGTGCCTCCTCTGAAATGTTTATCCTTTCGTCTTTGTTTTCCCCCTAGGACCACTGAGGTTCTTGTCCCAGACAGAATCTGTCACCGCCTTCATGGGAGATACAGTGTTACTCAAGTGTGAAGTCATTGGGGAGCCCATGCCAACAGTACACTGGCAGAAAAACCAACAAGATCTGACTCCCCTCCTGGGCGACTCCCGAGTGGTGGTCTTGCCCTCTGGCGCATTGCAGATCAGCCGACTTCAGCCGGGAGACATTGGGATTTACAGGTGCTCTGCCCGGAACCCAGCCAGCTCCAGAACAGGAAATGAAGCAGAAGTCAGACTTTTATCAGGTACTGTAGAGCTCATTGTTTTTTTTCCAGAATTATACTCTCTAGAGTAGTTTACACAACCACATTTCCTTTAACAAGTAGTTNTTTCCATGTTGATTTTCTTTCTGGAGGATCTGTCCATTGGTGACAGCAGGGTGTTGAAGTCCCCTACTATGATAGTGTTACTGCTGATCTCTGTCTTTATGTCTGTCAAAATCTGTTTTATATATTTAGTAGTGCCTATGTTGGATGCATAGATTTTTACTAGGGTTATGTCCTCTTGTTGAATCGATCCCTTTATTATTATGGAGTGTCCTACTTTGTCTTTTATTGTAGTCTTCATTTTAAAGTCTATTTTGTCTGAAGTAAGTATTGCTACTGCTGTTTTTTCTCATTTCCATTTGTGTGAAATATCTTATTTAATCCCTTTATTTTCTGTCTGTGTGTGTCTTTTGATCTGAGATAAGTCTCTTGTAAACAGAATATGCATTGGTCCTGTTTTCTTATCCACTCAGCTACTCTATGTCTTTTAATTGGAGCATTTAGCCCATTCACATTTAAAGTGATTATTGATAAGTGCATATTTATTGCCATTTTATTATTTGTATTTCCGGTCTTCCTGGGTTAGCTTGTTTTCCCCTTCTGTTTAAAAAAGCCCTTTTAATATTTCCTGCAATGCTGGCTTGGTGGTAATGAATTCCTTAAGCTTATTCTTTTCTGGGAAGCTCTTGACCTCCTTCAATTTTAAGTGATAGCCGTGCTGGGTAGAGCAGTGTTGGTTGTAGGCCTTTATTTTGCATTACTTTGAATATTTCCTGCCACTCCCTTCTTGCCTGCAGAGTTTGTGTGGAAAAGTCAGTTGTTAGTCTTATAGGATTCCTTTGTATGTAACCTGCTGTCTTTCTCTTGCTGCTTTTAGGATCCTGTGTTTGTCTTTAACCTTTGCCATTTTCACTATGATGTGTCTTGGTGTAGACCTGTTTGGGTTCAGCTTGTTTGGAACTCTCTGCACTTCCTGGGCTTGTATGTC